ATTGATTAATGGACTTTTGAGCTTGAATACTGTTCGTTATCTCCATATATTTCACTGATACAGACTGATGAGAGCTATTCAACTGCATCAACATTTTTTTACCTTGACCTTTCCTTTGACTTTGTCCTCACTTTTCTTAAATTAGCATCAAACTTCATATGCTGAAACATACTGACGTAAGCTATTCAACTGCATCAACATTCTTGACCTTGACCTTTCATTTGACCTTGACCTTACTTTTCTCGATTTGTGTTTAACTCAGTTTTAAAGAAACCATTCATAATATTTTTATCAAACTTCATATGTTAATACATAGTGATGCAAGCTTTTCAACTGCATCAACATTTTTTGACTTTGACCTTTCCTTTGACCTTAAACCGTTCACGGTAGCTCAGTCGGTAGAGCGCTCGCTCCGTGATCGGGAGGTCGTGAGTTCGAATCTCGGCCGCGACAGACCTAAGTCGATAAAAAATAGGTAGAAACTGTTCCTTCGCCATGCGCTCGGCACTTTGAAGTGAAAGTTGCGGGTCCTTCGGATGAGACCTTAAAAAACCGAGGCCCCGTGTCACGGCAGGCGTTGGCACGATAAAGATCCCTCACTGCTCAATGGCCCTGAGTGCCGAGTAAAGGTCAAAATTTGAAGCCCTTCACCGATATATGGTGACGTCTCTATATGAGTGAAAAATTCTCGAATGGGACGTAAAACAATATACAATCAATCAATCCTTTGACCTTAACTTCATTATTAGTGTTTAGTTCAGTTTAAATAAACTATTCAAAATATTTTTATCAAACTGCTGATACGTATTTGTGAGAACTATTCAACTGCATCAAAAATGTTTGACCTTGGACTTTCCTGTGACCTTGACCTCACTTTTCTTTAGTTTGCATTTTGCTTAGTTTTAAAGAAACCATTTAAGATATATTTATGTAAGCTTATGCACTTATATACATAATTTGGTGAGAATTTATCATCTATATCCAACATTTTAGATTTCAATTTTAAATAAACTATTCAAGATATTCTGATCAAATTCCATACACTAATATAAATTTTCATGTTGCATTACTAATATACCCTCGGCGGGGCATTCATGTCCTATGGACATATTTCTAGTTTTATATGTGCGGCCTATAAAAAATTGCCCCCGTTGAAAAATGACCCCTTTTCCAACAGAGTGACACAAAATTTATACCAGGTGATTGATGCCAAGGTTTGAACCTCAATGTTTAATTCTTCTAAAATTTTGCTCTTTTTGATCAACACTGGACGAACGCACAATTAAAATACAATAAAACATTACATGTACATGCATATTTCTATCTTTTAAGCCTATTGTGTTCTCAGCACATATTGAAAATCGCAAAATGGTTATAACTCTAAACGTAGTCTCCCTTCATGACTGTCTTCCATTTGTTTCATATTTGGATATTTGTCTAATTACAGAAATTCATAGCTAAATAACAGACAAGCGGGATTTTCTGGCTTTTCCATGGTAAACATGTCTCCCAAAGTATTCAGTATGCTTTGAGTACGAACAACTTTTTAGGTCACCTGAGTCACTCAGGTGACCAAATGCTATCCGTTTTGTCTGTCGTCATGCGTCGTCCGTTAACATTTGAACATTTTCAGCTTCTTCTCTGAAATCGCTGAACCAATTTCAACCAATTTTTGCATATAGCATCTAGCATCTATGGGTGAAGGGGAACATAAATAGTGAATTGAATGGTCCCTGTCCTCCTGGGGCCTGAGGGGTGGGGCTAAAACCACCAAAATTAATGCATCTTTATTCTTTATTCCTGGACATCAAACAGTCAAAATGTTGGCATGATTGTAATAAGCATTGAACCCATCTATCAAAATTGTGAAATTCATGGCCCCTGGGTTAGGGGTTCTGGTGCTAGGGCGTGGCTATATAGATCATATAGTGAAAGTGCATTATTTCTTTGAAAATCTTTTTCTTTGCTCATGGGTATTAAATAAACTAAGTACATAGTTAAGATGAGCGTGACTGCCTCTTCAAAAATTGTGAATTTCATAGCCCCTGGGTCAGGGGTTCTGGTGTTAGGATTTGGCTCTATTGATTATATAGTGAAAATACACAAATTCTTTGAAAATCTTCTTGTCTGCTCCTGGGTATTAAACAAACTAACTAAGTACATAGTTATGATAAGCAAGAGTGCCTCTTTCAAAATTGTGAATTTCATGGCCCCTGGGTCAGGATTTCTGGTGCTAAGGCGGGGCTATATAGATCATATAGTGAAAATGCATTAATTCTTTGAAAATCTTCTTCTCTGCTCTTGGGTACTAAACAACAAACATGTTGTCGAATTTAGTATAAAAGCAAAGGCTAAACAGTTGACCCAAATAAAGGTTATATTTGTTGGCAGGGTCATTGATACGACCATTGAATTTATGAAATGCTGACTTTAAACGAGGTTGTTGAAACCCCTGTAAATCAACTTACATGTATCTGTCAGTAGCCTGTCTCGATTTAAAAATTAATCGTGTTCTTGGGTATCGAATAACTTGGTAGACGTACACATCATATGTAAATGATAGCGGAATATTACTACACAAATAAGAAAAGCTGACGATGGAAAAAGCTTAAGTCATCCCGTTTGTCAGACAAGTTGTATGTTGATCTATATCGTCTATAGTCAGTAGAACGTCCAAATATGAAGCAGACATGGCAAACATAAGAAGGACATAAAAGTTCTGCATGTCTGAAATATATACAATCGTATAATGTGCATGCAATTTTATTTATAAACAGTTGTCTATGGGAATTTCTTTTCAAATACAGGGTATATGGAAGCAATAAAGAAGTATTCCAGTATAATATACATTCAAGTCTGTTAACATGGTCATCTGAGAATAGGATACATACATGTAAGAACAAGAAAATCCACTTTAAAACAGTGATACAATTGTCAAATCAACATGGAAACATTTCAATACAGTGTATATTGAAGATAATGTTTTCAATTTATTATAAAAGACAGACCATTTTATTTACCTTCCAGTTAAACATAAGCATTTATTTTTCCTACATTGAACTAAAAATAGATTGAAAACAATTCTGAAAAGTTATTTTACCTGCATCCGAATTCCATTCAAGTGAACATAATATTCAGGCACAAAGAATCGGAGAAGGAGAGGGATTCCCCCCCCCCCCCTTTCTAAATGTAAATTTTAGCAATTTCTAGTTTGAAAATGTTCATTGAAAGTCTTGTAACCACCGCCTCTTTTTTATACAGTATAGTTAAAAAATCTCTCCTACTTGAGTGGACAAGGTGAACATAACATTCAGGCGCATAGAATCAGGGGTGGGGTGGGGGTGTCCTCCCCCTTCCAGTTTCCAGGAACGTATTTTTAAAATATTTTTTTCGTTTGAAAATGTTCATTGCAAGTTTGGTTGCCCTACCCCCAATTTTTTGATACAGTAGAGTATAAGGAAATCCCTCTTACATCAATAAACTTTTTGAGAGGTTCATCAAAGATATTTCTAAGGTAACTTGTCATTTTTGCCTCTTATTATGCCCCATTTCCCCTTTCAATGCCTTGTCTGACGTTTATTTTTTTCTATATTGCACCAAAAATGGATTTTCATTTGCAAGTTAATATTGTATTGGCTTATGTAACTCTGATTCTTTCTCTGTGTTTGGCTAGGATTTGAGCAAATGTAAACAAGAAACTTGACATGTCTGCTTAATCAGTTTGTATCAATTTAATCATTGAATCATATAATAAAACAATTATTGCTGTTTTTCCGTCAGTACGATGATGTTCAACTATCGGAAAACAATTTTCACCTCGCCCTTTGGGCTTGGTAAATCTTTTACTCCTCTAGATTCTGACTCATAGCATTGATCTTAAAAACAGCAATAAGTGTATAATGTTATGAGATCAACATATCATTGATTTATTCCCATTTATTTAGCTCAGGTGAGCATTTTGGCCAACAGGTATCTTGATTTATTGGGTATTTTTTGCCCCTAAAAATTTCACCTTTAATCCACAAGGGGTGGTTATTCTACGGGGGTCATTTTTCTTCAGGTGGGGTATGCAGATTTTTAGGGTGATGACACTTTTTCTACGGGCAAAAAGGTCATTTTTCGACGTCGAATTATACGATTGCGAAAATTGGCCCCCGGTCATTATTCTATGGGGGTCATTATTCGTCTTTACACCGGCTTTAACACCACCTGGCCGTGCCGACAAATTGCATACCGCGTATACATGTAACAAGGGCACCGCAAGGCAAAGAGCATATTGATCCTGATGCAAATTACGTCACTTCCGTTTCGTAAAGAATTAACTCACTTACCCACAACACACACGATTGCGTTACTATATCCCCTCCAACTCCATTGCGAGGAGATAATAATTTGTCGACACAGATAGGTGCTGTTACAGGACCAACAACCTTCCAAAATAAGAATTCGGTGCTTATATTTACATCCTTCTCTTTTCTTTCTTTATAATTCTTTATTACTAATTAAGCGCCTTTCAGAACTTCGTCGTTGAGACTGGAAAAGTTAAATAAAGCAAATGAATATTGCGAAGGAAAAAAATTACAAATTAATTTGAAACACACTGATTACACTGATTGTAAAAATTGTTCAATGTATTTCTAGCAATAACATTTGATTTTAATCAACACACTTTCAATCCTTTTTCTTTTGTATAATTATATGGAATAGATGATGGTCATGTTTCCTTTAAAATATAATTTACGTCTGAAACACACTAAGTCTTCTCGTTACAACTTATGGTAAAGTGGCATTCTGCATAAAATTAATGATTAATCTCTGTGAATAACAAAGATATCAATTGCATACATTTTCAATGTTAAAGGATGATCATAAATGCAAAGTTAATGCATTCAATCTCGTCCTTTTTTAAAATGCCTGATTAAGCTTATTTCAGTCATTTTATCTGTCATTTTACATTATAGGAAGTTTATATGCCTTATTGCATGTGTATGTACTTCCAGCCCAAACAGATAAACCATCTGTAGAGTATGGTCTTAGGGAAAAGTTTCGAGGAAGGAGAAGTACGGAGGAATTGTTTTTCTGGTGTAAATTCAAAACTGACTTGGAGCAATTAGCATTGTATGAAGTTTACTGGTATCTTGATGGAAAGCGTAAGTTCATTAGCGGAGCAGTCCGGAGCAGCAGGTTGAATGAAACTTATTTAACAGAAGAAAATGGAATAGAATTGAATAGAAAGGTTTGTTACTTAAATCTTGTTTAGAGATATACATGTATATGAAAGTCTAGCAGACGAATTTATTAATCAATTGCAATAATACTTTTATTTAAATAAATAGATATCTTGCTTGGTAAAAACAACCCTAAACCATTCAGAAGTTTTATCACCAAGAAGTGGCGAATATTTTGCTGGAATTAAGGTATTAAAATTGATTTTTTTTGTAATTAAAAATATCCTGAATGGACATTTATGTTTCATTTGATGCATTTTTGTATACCAGAATGCATTGATTCTCTAAGAGATATGGGACATTCAATTCCAAGTAATATCATAAGAACAAAATAAATAGTATCACTGTTCTAATCCTCCATGTAATTAATAAAACACTGTCACAGTGAAAAAATTATCTTCAAACCTCTTTATGTGCTATCAAAATTATATTACATGTACTAAGCTTTAATTTGATTAAAGTTCTCTCTTAGTTTTAGTTTGATATTTTAATCAGATAGATGAGACCTTTATCCTAATTCGTCGTGGAGGAGGAAATAAGATTCGACTGAAGTTGACTGTACCATTTGGCTGCGCGTATTATACAGATTCTTTAGACGTGCAAAATTGTGTGCTTAACATCCAAATGGTAGAATACGGAAATTGTACTTCGAACAGTGAAAGTTTAAGCAAATGTGGAATATCAATACGGCGAAACGATTGGAATAAAACACATGAAATGGAGATAGGTCATAGTGACGATTATACTCGCAAGTTTTTACCGTATAGACGTATCCAACTAGAAACTCAAAGACTCCTCTCAAATGAAATATGGAGCCATCTTGAAATACCCGCTGTTCAGGTGAATTTTCTTGAAAGCTCTTATTACCATTTCGAAAGAGATATTTCAAATTAAAGCTGAAAACGTAAATGCAAGACAATTTTAAAGTCTTGTTAATGTGTAAGTAATAATGAATATCATGCGTTATCTTTCAGGTCTACATTCTAGATAGCCAAATCTCCCTCACATGCAGCAAACTTAAAAACGGAAATCAGAACCTGTTGGTATCATATCGCTTTGGAAAATTTCATGTTAATTGCATAAATTATTTTTCATAATTTGTTTTTTCCAATTATAGAAAAAAATACAAATTCCAAAGGGAATAGTATATTAAAACTGAAATTACAGAAAACAAAATGACTATGATAGGAGAGTTGACACACAATGAAAAAAAAACAACTAATGTAATCTTTTATAATTTTTAGTTCCAATTCAACAATGGATTTTACTGCGTTAAAGCACTTAGATGAATATGGCAATAATTTTGAGGTAACGAATAAGAAAAGTCAATATTTCATTTTAATTATATATGATATTCACATTATTTTTTAATGGAAGAGTTGTAAGACTTACCGAAAATATACTTTATATGTGTCCATTATAATCATTTAGTTATTGGTGTAAAATTGTGTATTTCATTAAATGATAGAACTTCTACGGAAAAATTTAATTATGATGACTAAATTACAGAGAGAGAGAGAGAGAGAGAGAGAGAGAGAGAGAGAGAGAGAGAGAATTAAAATACTATGCACTAATAACTTACATTTTTTTTCCATTTATTATATTTTCAGATTCAGATACGCCGAGCAAGAATTGGACTAAATAAAAACCGATTATGTGGACTAGCAGTTCGGGCAGGGGCTGATGTTTTTCTCATTGATGCTTGTCATTTTCCAACGACAAAAAAGTTTCGAAGATGTGTGGATAATGTCATTTCCGTCAGGGTTTGGGATGGTTTGTCAAGCCGTATTACAGAGGTACAATTCACAAGAAAATGAAGTGTGAAGTAGTTTAATCAAATTGACAATAACTAGTCAAATGAGGTTATTGCTTTTTTTTTTATTGAAACATATATATACAATGATTTTGTTTGAATAGGTGAATTTGTTGCCCGGAACAAGAATAATTGCGTCAGAAAAATTGAACACAGCAACCAACCAAACATCTTTGCTGATCTACATTTGTTATTTGGATGTGCTGACTCTCTCGGATATCATTTTAAATGAGTAATGATCAGAATAATATAAAGAGGTTAATAATCATATGTTCAAAGGTATTCTTTGAGGAAGAATGTTTTATCTGTTGCAAATAGACAAGAAGATAAATAAATTTGGCATTAATTACTTAAATACATGTAATTATAACTTAACTACATGTAATTATAACCATCTAGTACTTTACGATACATCAACACATTCGTATTTTGATAGGGTGCAGGAATAGAAAAAAAATTAATTATTGTACTTTTTAAATTATTTCATATTGTTTTAACTTGTATACGTAAGAAACAAACCATCTAACATCAGAGTTGTTTCTTGCAATTGAAAATAAAGAAATTATGATATTCACACTTTAACAGTGAATATAACATGGAGTTTACTCTCCTTATGTAAAATCTACTTTGATTTCAAAATTGATTTACTGTCTCTCTCTCTCCGATGAATTGGGCGACCAGGCGTTCTGGTGTATACAAAGCAACTCTAAGGAATATCTAACATGTTAAAGTTTAATTGATTTTTATTGTTTTTCTTTCTTTCAAGAGCTTCCGTCAATCTTTTTGAAATATCAGACAGAGATAATGCTACAATCCAGCGTCTTATGAAGGGTTCCCTTGCCGTCTGTACATGCCGTTATAGTAGTAAACAAGCATACTTTATCGACTACGACCCTTTAACGAATTCCACTATATGCACTAATAGCGATAACAGTATTTGTAAGTTTTGTATTTCCATTTACAAATAAGTAATACTCTTTAAATATTTTGCAGAAAGACTAAAATAATTAAAAGTATAAATTTACAAGCGCAGCAGTTAATTATTTTTAGGTCACTCATCCATCAAAGAAACAACATCAAATCCAAATTTCTGCAAAATAGGTAAGGGCGTGCGTGTGTATATGAGGGTGTGTAGGTATGTGTGAGGGTAAGGGACTGTGTGTGAGAGATAGAGAGACATTATTCTGATATTTTTGGGATATAACATTGTACTACAAATATTGTAAATAACTGGATATCTAAAAGCTGTCATCTCTAAAGTGCTTTGTTTTTATTTTTCAGTAAAAAGAAATCCAGGTAAATATTTCAAGGCAATTTGAATTTCTGAATTCCTGTACCTGTTTATCTATGTCTGTCAGAAACAAATGCCTAATATGTTTTACAAAGTTTCCTAAGAAATCTAAAAGGAAATTTTGTCTGATAAAAAAGTTGGTTTATTGTTAATCGACTCAACAGTAAGAAGCGTTGGTTTAAGTGTGTTTGGTTTCTTCAAATATGCTTGGACTTTGGGCATGCTTTTAAAAAAGTTATGATTATGTTTTGTTTCTTCTGGTTATTTTTCTTTGGATAGTCTTGGTTTCTTTAGGTATGGCTGACTTCGCTTCGATTTTATAAGGGGTGTTTTTATGATGGTACATGTGTAACTTCAGATGTTAGATTTGAAACTTCAAAAAGGCATAGAACAAGTATGTAGAAGCTTATAAGAGCTTGTTCAAGTTAATCCATCCGTCTATCCATCTTGCTTATTTTTATATCGTTCCCTCAAATATGCGCATTTCTCACACTTAGTGGATATCAGTCCAAAGAAAATTTCATATCCAAAAGTTTGTATTGCAACGCCATTAAGATATCAGGTAAATAAAATATGAAATAAATCTGTGCGTTGTTTGTATGAAAAGTCCATTGAAAATTTATAATGACTTAATTGACAACATCCAAGAAGTAAAAGATATTATCTATTAAAATATCTGCCATCTCTTGTCCAATCACATAATCTTTGGTGACAACCAACCTGTAATATGTGCATTTAGGCGCCAATCGTTTTCTTACTGTTAACGTTATATTTCATATTATGAAAACCCTAATCTGATAGTTGCTTTCAATCTTCTGTAAGTGCATATTGTTAATTTGGGAAACCAGGGACTGCCTGGAAAGACTGGATGGAGACTGGGGAAGATCGGTGACACTGGAGAGACAGGTGGCCACCAGGAACAGTCTGGAAACAGGTACCAAGGGGCAGCTTCCCTTTGTACAGTCCCTGCGAGGGGACACCGAAATTAGCTACGACGGAACAAAATGATCAACACCCCCAGAGTCTCCCGAGAGAGGGGATGAGAGGCTCGAACAGACGGATCAAATGGTAACGACAACGAACAACCCATGGAATGTGGGAAGGATGGTGCAACTAACATTAGATAGAGGAAATGCTGAAGTCAGAAGTACATGCGGTAAAGTCTGCAAGAACATCCGAGGACTGAGGGTACACAAAGCAAGAAATCGATGTGGTAATTTGACAACTCAAACACAGCGCACAGTTAACTGGTGAGAAGCAAGAGGATCCTAGCTAGGACACAACCCACAGAGCCAGGAACCTCTCCGTGTCTGAGTCGTCCCAAGACAGCAGCGGCGACTTGATGGAGGAACTCGGTCTTCGAAATAGACAGGGCCAGCAGACACCAAGGAAAGTCAAGGAAAAGAGCTCGAGGCCAATGTTATCATGGCCGAGAGGAGATGATGAAGCAGTGTGGAGTGGCTTCGATCAAGATGTCAGCATGATCCTTGAGTCAACAATGCAAGGGAATGTAGAGAGGAAGATAGAGGTAATTACCAACATAATGTATAACATTTGGAAAAAGCGGTTTGGGACGGAGAAAGGAAAGTCAAAAATTGAAAACAAAGAGCAGATCCCAAATAGGCGGGAGCGAAGGATTAGAGAATGTCGACAAGAACTAAATGAACTGAATAAACAGTTTAGAAGAGCGAAGGACAGGGAAAAAGCACGAATAGCACAATTGACGGATGGCATCAGGTCAGAGCTTTCAAGACTACGGAGAGCGGAGCCACTGAGGCAGAGGAAAAAGAAAAGAGAGAAGAGCAGGGCAAAGTTTGTTAAGAATCCATTTAAGTTTACAAAGAGGCTTCTAGGTGAGGAAGGTCAGGAAAACTTCACTGTTCAAAGGAAGAAGTTGAGGAGTACTTAAATGAGACACACTCTGACCCACGGAGAGAAGAACCACTGGGTCAGTGGCCTAATGAGGTGATAGTAGATCAACAAGAGGTTATGATGGATGTTATGGAGCCTACGTGGAAGGAGCTGAAAGAAGTGGATAAAAAAGCAAGATCAGGCTCAGCTCCCAGACCAAATGGGATACCATACATAGTGTATAAGAGGTGCCCAAAGTTACTGAAAAAATTGTGGCCACTTGTTCGAGTAATCTGGCTGAAAGAGACAATACCAGTATGCTGGAAAGAGGCAGAGGGATGTTTTGTACCGAAAGAGAAGAACTCGAGGACAATCAACCAGTTTAGAACAATATTTTTGCTAAATGTGGAGGTGAAAATGTTCAGGTCAGTGTTAGCAAAGCGATTATCAGGGTGGACAACAGAAACATAGATCAATCTATTCAAAAGGCAGGCATACCAGGGTACTTGGGATGCGTAGAACACACAAGTGTACCCTATACCAGAGAAGGTTCAGGGGATTGTCAAGAGCTACTTCGGAGGAATGCAGATCCGATTCTCTGTCGATGAGAACACCTCATCCTGACAAAGAGTAGGGAAAGGGATAGTCACAGGATGTACAATCTCTCCTATCCTGTTCGTAATGGGTATGGGGATGGTGACCTGGACTGCAGAAAGAGAAACAAGAGGGCCAAGGATGGGCTCGGGGATTTATCAGCTACCAATCAGAGGCTTTATGGATGACCTCACTGTGTCAACAACAACTCATATACAGAAAAATGGGTCCTATCAGCATTGGAAGATAGCGTTTCCTGGGCAAGCATGAAGTTCAAGCCAAAGAAATCCAGATGTCTTGTAAGAAGGAAGGGGCGTATCAACAGGCTAGTCAAGATGCAAATTCAAGGAGAGGAGTTCCCATCAGTAGTAGGAAACCCGATTAAATGCTTGGGAAAGTGGTTTAATGAATCCCTCACAGACAAAGATAGCATCGAGGACACAAAGAAGAAGCTCCTTTCTTGGTTAAAATGAATTGATGGAAGCGGATTACCTGGAAAATATAAGGCATGGATCTACCAGCATGGGATCCTACCAAAACTTATTTGGCTGCTCCTCATATATGAAATGGCAATTACTACAGTCGAAGCCATGGAAAGGAAAGTTAGTGGGTATCTGAGGAGATGGCTAGGAGCTCCATCATTATTTACATCGATAGGAATCTATTGCAACTCAACCCAGTTACGCATATCAGTGTCCTCTGTGGTGGAAGACTTCAAGGTAGCAAAATGCCGCTTGGTAATGACGTTACGTGACTCAGCAGAAGACAGGGTCGCAGAAGCAGGGATCCAGACAAGGAGTGGTAAGCAAAAACATCAGTGGATCAAGCAGAGAGTATGTTATACTTAGGAGACATCATTGGAAACACAAGCACTGGGCGACAGGGCGTGGGAATGTCACACTTCCAGCAGTGGTCAAAAGCATCAGCAGCAGAGAGACGCACCATGGTTCAGGCTGAAGTACGGCGCACTGAGGAAGATCAACGGAAAGCAAGATAAACAGAACTGGGAAAACAGGGGGTCTGGATGAAGTGGGACTTACCGGAGCAGGAATTAACCTGGGCAGAACTGTGGAGGAAGGACCAGTTTAGAATCTCATTCCTGCTGAGGTCAGTGTATGACACACTCCCATCTCCTGTAAACAGTGGGGGCTAAGCGAAGACCCTAGCTGCAAGCTGTGTGGGAGGAGAGGGACCATGGCGTATATTCTATCAGGATGCCAAGTTGCGCTGACCCAGGGTAGATATAGATGGCGACATGATAAAGTCCTGCGGTAATTACCTGATTTGCTGGAGGTGGAGAGAAGGAAACGACAGATACAGTTTGTGAGACAGGGTGAAGCTACGGCTGACACAAGAGCAGCAAGACGGACATCATTGTTGGATAGAGGGCATAACTGGGAGCTCTGAGTCGATCTAGACGGGAAGTTAGTTTTCCCTAACATCGTGGAAACCAACCTACGACCAGACGCAGTTTTAGTGTCCCAGCAGTCAAAGACTTTTGTCGCAATAGAGCTGATCGTGCAATGGGAAGAAAATTGTGAGGAGGCACATGAGAGGAAGAGCCTTAAGTATGCAGATGCAGATCTCATGGCAGACTGCAAAAATAGATGTTGGAGTGTTTGGCTGTTTCTAATAGAGGTCGGTTGCAGAGGGTTCCCAGCGCAATCGGTGTGGAAACTGCTCACACGATTAGGTTTATGAGGAAGAGCATGCAAGACAGCAACAAGGAGACTGGGAGAAGCAGCAGAGAAGTCATCCTGCTGGATATGGCACCGCCGAGATGATCTGTGCTGGAAGTCGGGATCCATCGAGTAGTGAATTGGCCACCACTGCTGACCCACCAACTGGAGGATACTATAATTTAGGGTCGAAACATCCAGTGAAGGTTGAAGACCATCTGATGACGATCGGAATCGACAGGCGAGCACCAGGGGCGGAAGTGACAGATAGTGATAGGCATGCTTAAGAGTGCCAAGCTGACAGTTAGCAGAAATCCATCTCTGTAAGTGCATACAATTGCTGCATTCAATTTTCGAAGTTTTGCATTGCATTTCCGAAAATATTTATTTTCATACCCGGCCATTTTTTTCTTTTCATTTAAAAAAAAAAAAACATTTACGGAATGTTTGGAGGGTACCTTTCCGGCAGTTAAATATTAAACAAGTAGGCGGAAATAAAATTTCAACAAGACACATAAAAATATATTTATTTCAAACCTGAGTTTCTGCATAAAAATATTTCACATTCATTGGCTATACATATGTAAAAGAGACATTATATGTGATTCTGCTGGGGATTGGACCCGGGGCCTCTGGCTAGCCAGTCAAGTGCTCTACCAATTGAGCTAAAGGGTTGACCCACTAGCCAAAGCTAGTAGGATGCCGTGTATCTAACACTACCACATTGTCCCCTCAAGATAATGAGATGTCCTCATCTCTCTTGGAGTGCCGAGACCTGTGAGGCAAAGTTAAAGGGGCAATCACTCTCACCCACCAGAGAACAGCCGGGTCCCAACGTGGGTGCCAAATATAACAAAGGCATTATATGTGCCTCTGCTGGGGATTGAACCCTGGACCTCTGGCTTGCCAGTCCAGTGTTGTACCAATTGAGCTAAAGGGTTAACCCACTAGCCCAAGCTAGTAGGATGCCGTGTATCTAACACTACCACACATGCAACACTAAGTTTAGTTAAAAGTTTTGTATAACTTAATGAGCGTGCGATTTTTGTTTACTATTCTTTTTCACTTAAGTTTATATCAGTGACTGTACTGAATTTATGTTGAATATAAATGAAATATTCAGTGAATTTGTGGACCTCGGATGAGAGATTTTGCGGAAGGTTGGTTCTATTGATTATATGGTGAAAATGCATTTATTGTTTTGAAGATCTTCTCTGATCCTATGTAATAAGCAAACCAACCAAGTATATAGTTATGATGAGTGTGAATTTCATGAACTCTGAGTCGGGGGTTCTGGTGTTCGTATTGGGCTCTATTGAATATATGCATTATTATTTTTTTTTTAAAAAATAAAATCTCCTTATCTGATCATAGGAATTTATCAAATATGCTAAGTGCACTGTAATGATGATCAAGAGTGGCCCTTTTAGAATTGTGGCCCCAGGCTCAAGGTATCAAGTGTGTGTGGACCCGTTGAATATATCATGAAAATGAATCAATTCTTTGAAAATCTTTTCTTTTGCATGGTTATGATTTGTGAAATTCATGACCGCTTGGTTGGGGGTTCTGATGAATTATGGTAAATCTGTTGATTATATAGTGAAAATGCATAATTTCTTTGAAAATATTCCTTTTTGTTACTGATTATAAAGCAAAGAAAATCAGTGTATAGTTATGATGAGCAAGGGTGCTTCTTCCGGAATTGCGAGGTCCATGGCCCCTGTGTCAGACGCTCTGGTGTAAGGGTTGGGCGCTTTTGATAATAAAGTAAAATTATTAATTCCATTAACTAATCATACATCCAATCTTCAAATTAAAGTATGTACTAGTATGTGTATTTCCTTTCAATGCCCGAGGTACCAAGATCATTAAAGGCTCTAGAATGGGTATCATGAAAACAATTGTCTAAGAAATGATTCGAATTTAGTCTTTTAAGTAACATGGGCATGGGGGCCAGTGGGGCTAATGAATTTATTAATAGTCCCAGTTTCAGTAAGCACTGAGAAGTAATAAATGACGATATCAGTCTGAGAAAAGTTCTGAATAGAAAATAATAACAACGCTGACGACAATTTCTTTTTAATTCTGAAACAGAATGGGTAATAATATTCAAAGCAACAGCTGGAAATGGAGAGAGAGTGTACGATGCTTGGAGTAGAGATCTATCCAAGCTGTCGTATTGCACGCCAGAATTAGGATGCTTACCAGAAGGTTATACAACAGACACATTATCACCGACTTCCAGACATCTTACCAGTCAATTAATCAAACAATGGAACTATAATTATGTTCAAAAGGTAAACTGTGTTTAATCTAGGTACACTGTGCACGAGATAACGAAGGAATACTAAATAGTACATATATTTAAATATATAACTTAATGAGTTTGTTGAAACCAAACATTTTGTATGTCATTTATAATAAGATATTAAAATCTATATTTGTCATGTATTTATTAATCATATGATATTCTGTCAACATGAGTGCATCATGAAATGATTGTACGTTACTTATGAGTTCTATTTAAAGATTTGGGTTGGTGTTTTCCATCAATTAATACTTGTCATGGCTAATGAGGTTTTCTAGAGGCAGTCAATAAATAATATTTCCAATTGCCGTTGCTTCTAATGTTAGAATGATTAAATTGTTGAAAATGGCCAGGTCTTTGAACTGGTTAGAGACTCAAGTATTTACGAAAAACAAAGTTATCTCAGTCCAATTTTTCTGTTTTAATTCAAACACATATGTTATAAAATAGCAATGTTTATGAGCAAAATCTGACATTGTGGCAATGGTTGCACTAGCTTAGCTGACCGAACATGGACTAGTAAAACTTTGATTTAAAAGTACCATTCAAAAGTCAAGAGAAGCAACAAATGAAAAATATTTTTTTGTTTTCTTTATGAAGTTTCTCGATTGTTTTAGATGACTTATTGGGTCTCTGTTTTAATTTTTCACTTGGAATACACAAAACATTGACAGAAATTATATAAAATTTGACAATTAAGATTTTTTTAAGGAATATGTATCTTAACATTACACAACTCGGCATGAATTTTGTTCTGATAACTTCAAGAGTACTCTTAAACAATATATTGGAGATGTGGTTAGATCAGATGTGGATACTTAAACTCTAAGGAACTTTAAACACCCAATTTTATGTTAACGCCCCCAAAATCAACCGAATTCAAGATCAATAGTATACCGCCTGTCAATCATAAAAAAACAATAGCTTCTGATTTGACTGACCGGCCACTTACGTGGGTTACCTAATAATCTGAGTTTGCATGTTTTGAAAACAATTACCTGGTCACGCGTCAAACGCTTTCATGTACCGCGTGAAAGGTCGCTTGTATACACTCTGGTTAAAAAAATCATGTCGCTGTTGTATCGGATGATTTTATTTTTAAAAAAATAATTGAGAGTAGATAATTAAACAGTGACTTCGTGATTTTTTTTTCAATCTCCACTGCTGTTTTGTACTTGTTAGCAATATGACGTCCAAGATAACTAGAACTTTTCGAAGAAAAATTAGCAGATATTCAAGCCCTTTCTTCCTTCAATAACTGAGATCCGCAGAGAGAAGTTTCTGTAGCAGCACAGTCCGATAATTCTTCCGAGCCCATTATTCAACCTGTGCCTTGATTTTAAGAATGTACGTAATGCCCTTGTCGACCTTGCACTTGGGTTCACAGAAATTTGCCGAAGTATTGGAAACAATCGACCCCTCACCCCCCACAATTTGAAAATTAAAAGAAAAAGCAATGGATTAAATAAGAAAAGATATTTATACTAATATAAATAAAGTATCTTGTATCTAACGCCATGAATTACGAAAGATTCTTTTTACATGTATATCCAAATCTGTAAACAGGGCATAAGATCACCGACCCTCGGAAATGGCGAATATTTGGACACCATTGTTCGCCAGAAAAGTAAATAGTATTCCGATCGTGGTAAATGTCCACACAATAAGTGGAATCTTTTTATGTCAATATTCACAACAATAATTTATCATATCTTTTATTTGCATTAAAATATTGATATGATTGCTTTGTAGTTTTCACCCGTTTTTTTTTTTTTTTTTTTTAATTTTTACGATTTTTTAAGAAGATGTGTCTTTTTAATTTGTTTCTTCTTCAAAAGATATCGACGAAATCGCTAAGTCTACAAATTTTATACAATGTATTTCAGTACATAATTTATTTTAAATATTTTCATTCAAAATTATGCACAAAACGCGTAATGTTAACCCTGATAACCAAAAACCGAACTTCCTGTGTAATGCGGCGTGTATAGGGATTTTTGACATCTTGAGTATTGGGGCTCTCCAGGTAAATAACTCCAGTACAACTAAGACCACTCCCCCTCCTCAGGTAACCGTACGGTAAAAAAATTGGGTCTTTATGAAAATTTTAGATCACATAATTTTATCAAAATCAATTACATCAAAACGTAAGACTTCAACACTTCATAGAACAATTCTCAAACGATAAATTGAAGTCCAGGCTTTTTGACATAATTGACAGCTGCTTTCTCAATAAAGATGGAACTAGCAAATCTACTCACCTTCTCATTGGGCATTTGGAAAATTATTTTGTCAAAAACACTCTGATCGTACACACAATTCAAGTACTCTGTTTTGTTTTGTTTGTTTGTATGTTGTTTAACGTCCCTCTCGAGATTTTTTCACTCCTATGGAGATGCCACCACTTGCCGTTGGAGAGCTGCAATTTTTTGTCCTATACTCGACGCTTACGGCCATTGAGCAGTGAGGAATCTTTTAAGTGCAACTACCTACTGCCTCACGGGACCTCGGTTTATACAGTCTCATCCGATGGACCGGTCTCCACGTCCCACAGTGAGATTCAAACCCGTGACTTAAGGATCAACTCCTTACTTCGCTACTCTAGAGCAGACGCTCTAACCACTGCGCCACGCGGACGACTACACAAGTACTCTGAACATTGTTTATAAAAAGATTGTTGAGTTTCTGATTGACGGTGATTGTATAGTTTTTGGAGACCAGGTCTTTCAAAAATCTGTTGAATTCCCAAGGGTACCAGTTGTGCCCCGTTATTAACAGATCAATTTTTATATTCATTTGAAGCAGAATTTATCAGAAATCTTATACATGAGAAGTGTTGCTGTATACATGTTGCTGTGCAACACTTGATTAACACATCTACTGAAATATACGTCAGTACTCCGTAATTTCTTTTTCACTGCTGTAGATGATATTTAAAGAGGAGTAAAGAAAGAGGCTTGGTAGAACCTTTACCGGAACCCGCTATGTATCTTTGTAAAAAAAAAATATGAAGTTTACAAATCCGGTATAGGTATGGTAATTCAAATTCATTTTGATTGTCGGGAATATTAAAGTATTTTAAACTGACATATGGTTTTGAAAAAATTTCTCCATAGAAAGGGAGCTATAAGTATCAGTTTGATAACTATTAGCAGAATAAAATCCCAGTTCCTCTAAAATACTATTCAAATAATGAGTAACAATTTACTGTCACTGTTTTCTGATCGCTGCTTTTAAATGGTCTCATTTGAAACATTATCTTTAACCTAACAGGTTAAGCTGGAACTATATACTAGAGGGACCATGGTCTTGCAACTCATTTTCGATGCCGAGAATAGCAATAATACGAACTGGTTTTCAAATGATCGACTTTTGTACAGCAGCTATCAGGATATGCATCGAAACAGTGTTTATAACTATTTCTCCATTCGAGGGTGAATATATGAACATGAATTTGATTTTTTTAACGAAAGTATAATATACATTAAGTAGACTTTTTTGTCATGTCAAATTAACTTCGAGAGTTTTTGAAAATTTTATCCACTTTAAAAATCTGTTATATTGCACTTGTTTATTTATACTAGTTTTTTCGAGATTGGAGGAATCATTCGAAGATTTCATATTAACTCTAAATATGATGGATGCCCCGGAGATATAGGATGGTTAACTGTTGTTGATTCTGATCCAATTCATCGCTGTTCCTGGGAATCGAGCTTACCCTTTCCGCAAATGCTGTACGCGAAAGGAAAAGTCAGGAACTGGAATTCAGGTTTTTGTTTAGTCATGTTTCAAAATTAAACATTAAAATTGTTTTTATCTCACCCCTATTTGGATTGAAAACATTCTCTTTTGATTGATAATTTATCTTTCTTTTGATTGATAATTTACTTTTCTGGCTGAATTTTCAAAATTCAAAATTTGATATAATTTCGGTCTTCATGTAAAACTACTGTATTGATTTTGTTGAATGAATAAAAGATTTTATACAATCATTCACAGAAACATTAATTTTGGGACATTGTTCTAGTGTTTAAAAAAGAAAAAAGCATTGTAAAAATATGAAAATAAGAAAATGGAGGGCATACAAGTGACCAGTTCTTTTCTTATATTATAAGAATACAAAAACTAATCTGCTTATACATATTCACACCTAGGAAATTCCTACAGGTTGGTTTAGACCTGGACTGCATAGATATTGTCAAAGAACTCTAGCATTTATTTTTAGGATACAAACAAAATATTTGATACATAGATTGATATATGTTTTACTAATTTTAAAGGAGTATTGATTAAAAGATGATGATCAGAATAACGTTCTAAACAATATGCATCCTTTCAATTTTAGAAAAATGATCCCATAAGGACTTGAAGGACTAGACCCAAAATATTTCTATTTTTAATTGCCCGAAAACAAAAAGAAACTTAAATATTTATTAAACAGAAAATATTCAAAATAACAAGACCGTTCATTTGCTACCAAGAAAAGCGTGGCAGAATCCTTAAAACAATGACGAGAAAGGCAAAAAAAAAAAAAAAAAAAAAAAAAAAAAAAAAAAAAAAAAAAAAAAAAAAAAAACTATAACAATTAAAGGATTTATTTTTTGCTTTACGTCTGTAATTAAAGTAATTTAAAAAACGATAATAAGTGCCCATAAAAGGCCAAAATCCTAAATGTTTATCAAAAGGGAAAATATTTTGACAAGTAAGATTGAACAGAATAATGTTCAAAACAGTATTCATCCTTTCAAAATTTTCAAAATATCAAAATATCCTCATTAAAGACCTGTAAGGCTGGCCCGTAAATATTTCTATTCAGATATGTCGAAAGCGAAAAGAAACTTCTGAAAAGTTAAACAAAACGCTTTCACAATCACATTGCTCTTCATTTGATGAAAAGAAAAGGGGATAATCCCTGATATTATGGGCTCAGATGGGCCAAATATTATCAATGTAGAACTCGTTACCGATCAGTATTAGTTAAAAATTACTGTTCTAAAATGTTCCTTTTTTCGATTTGCAACGATACATTGATTTTTGATCATATGGTCCGTCATAAAAGACTATAAGGGGCCAGAATGCTAAATCTTTGATACATGATATTTACAAAAGGGGAAATAATTTGATGAAAAATACTGAATGAAAGATTTTTTAAAAAATGTATTAATTGATATGCAACTTTCAATTTTTGCAGAACTGCCTTAAGGACTTGAAGGAATGACTTCTAAATATAACTTTTCTCAAAAACGAAAAGGAATTCTTGAATAGTTGTAGAACTATTTTCAGAATATATTCAGAATATTTAATATCAAGAAAAAGAGATTCCTAAAGAAAGGGGTCCAAATTAATATTTTTAATCTACAGTTCCTTACCATTAATTGATTTATGAACAGAAATTGTTGAAAAAATATTTATATAATTTTTCGTTAATGAACATTATAGGATTAAACGTTCTTTTTTTTCCAGAATTTATCGATGTGTAAACTCATGCCTTTGTACTCACAAACTGAACAGAAGTGTGAAGCACATTTATGTAAAGTTTGTGAGTACAAAGGCATGAGTTTACACATCGATAAATTCTGAAAAAAGAACGTTTAATTCTTATAATTCCAATTACGAAGTTTTAAAATTATTTCTCTTTGAAGCCTCCATACAATCTGTTATTTCTGTACAGCGTAGGAATATTTTATGCCGCGATGTGGAAATGAATCACAATCGAGATGAACGTCGATAAAGTTCAACTTTAATTGTCAAAACTTTCAATAAAATAAGCTTATAAAAACTCTTCGAATATTGTTTAAGTCAACAAATATCGTAAATACAAGTAGACAGACTTCAAAAGAATTCGTCGTTGACCATGTTGACATTACGACAGACGCTCTAAAACGAAAGTAGCAGACCGACGACAACCTTGATTTGCTCTGGTTTGTTCAAAGACGGGACAGAATATAGGATGTACAAAAATGAATTTGATGCTAATAAGGCAAGAGTCTAAGATACGTTTCTCTTTCCTATCACAGTGCTACCGAGATCTGAGCTGATTTGTTTTGTAGGCCTATTAGGAACGTCGAGAATATCACTTTGACAGAGATTTAAAATTCACACTCGTGATCTGACAGTGACATACACATAATGTTCCCGTCTGTCAGTCCTGTATGTCGTCAGTTTTGTTTTTATTTTAATTTCAAGTTTCTGTAATTGTTTAGCTAAAACACAGAATAGAAGTAACGATTTGTTTCATTTTATTTTTTACACATAAACGCTAGGTCCGATTGAGAATTTATCGATGTGTAAACTTTTTCTTGAATTTGTTCTCGTCCAATCAAAACACAGGAAATCAATGAATAAAATTAAGATTGGAATTATTGCAATATAACTATCACAATCATATCTCATCTGATCAAAAGTCGGACGGAAGACCTACCCCTGCTCGCAAACGACATCTCATCTAGTTATTTTTTAGTTATATTTAACATTTATAGACGAGTAAACTGCAATCCATAGCGCTTTACATGTACACAGAATTAAAATGACCTAATAAGCAACAGTTGAACAACTACATAAAATAGCCAAAAAAAAATTATTTTCACTGTAATAAAAGAAAATTAAATAGTTAGTATACAGTTCAAACGTTAATTGAATGCATTGGTTTAACAAATATTTTAAATGCTTTTTAACCCTTTAAATTTCTGATGACGCTTATCCCTCACAAAAAATTACTATAGATAACTATAGTTTAATAGTTAACTATAGTGATAACTTTGACACTATAAAAACTTTGATTTACTACAGTGATAACTTTGACACTTTGATTTACTATAGTGATAACTTTGACACTTTGATTTACTAAAGTGATAACTATGAAAACTTTGATTTACTATAGTGATCACTATGAAAACTTTGATTTACTGTGGTGAAAACATTGATTTACTATAGTGATAACTTTGAAAACTTTGATTAACTATAGTGATAACTATGACACTATAGTGATCACTTTGAAAAACTTTGATTTACTATAGTGATCACTTTGACACTTTGATTTACTATAGTTAACTACAGTTAACTATAGTAAACTATAGTTAACTATAGCATTTTTTTGTTAGGGATGTTTGATGATGCCTTATTCCATACAAGTATATAAAGTCATTGCACCCAATGGAGCAACCGTTTTCGAGGCAAACTTTTTGTGATCAGCTTTGGCCGATCACAATTGATTTTGTATGAGGCATCCCGCAGAATTAACTATCTGCGCACGCATTACGCCCTGTACTATTTTGTTCCCAATGTACTGACAGTTTAATGTTAATCTTTTATATCTAATATCTTTTATATATTTTCTTACATCTTTTTTCATGTTAAGTTTTAACAATGAAATATATGGAGATAACGAACAGTATTCAAGCTCAAAAGTCCATTAAACAATACAAAATAGGAGCAGAGCAAACACAGACCTCCAAACATCAGAGGTGGGATCAGGTGCCATGGATTATTAATGAAACAAGCATTATTTTGATGCATTTACCTTAGGTGCAAACGTTTATACAATTACATTGGTGAAATATTTTTTTTTTATATTTTTCTTTACATGCGTAAGATTTCATTCGGAAGTACGTGTAAACTACCTTTAAGGCTGAAGTTTATTCGTCCATTGTTGTTTCGGAGATAAACAAATTATTCATATTGAATTAAGAAAGCGCGACTAATCCTATTCTGTCTATTTATAGCATTGTGGACTCTCAGTATATTATCGTTTATAAAGGAGTTTCATATCTCACAAATTTCACTTTAGGTGTTTTTTGAATGTTACCGTAATGCTGAATGAAATAAAGTAATTGACCATCACATACATGTAGCTGTAAGATAGCACGAAATCACACGGAACACAAGACTCTAACTACTTCCAATGATGCTATCTCTAACTATAGAATTATCGTTTGATTTTACAGACCATGAGTACTTAAGTTTAATTTACTTGCAACATTAATTAAGATTCTGTAAAAGTTTGATAGTTAATTTATCTACAGAGTTATTTTTTCTTTACAAAACTTAAGCCAAACCTTTAACACAAAAATATCACAAAACATCTTTCCAGTTTAAAATAATATTTTAAAGGCAAGATAATACGGCCTTACTACACTTTATTACAATATTGCTCGGTTGAAAGTCGTTCCTCAAATTTAAATTCGGTATGCGAAGGATATTGGAAAAATATAAATGTATATTGTATTAGCTTGGTCACGGTATTTCATTCAAACTTGTAACTAACTGTTTCATTTTTTTCCAGGTGATATTGGACACGCAGATACCATGGCTATATATATATTTAAATAACATTGCTGTATATATTATTGTCATATGTAAACGGCATGTTATTCGAAACTGAAGCTAATATGTGCTTATTTTGTAAATAATACATTCATTTCTTTTTCCCTTGTGACAAGTTAACAGAAATATTGTTGTAAAGACTTTAAAAAAAAATAAAATATGACGTTTCTGAATTATTATTATTTTCTTTATAAAATGTCTACTTTATTCTTATTGTAAATAAGAATATTCTTATAGATGATTCTATTATGCAATCTCTTCTCTCTTTCTGTTCTTTTCGTTCGATCAAATATTTTTTTTTCGTCCACAAACTGTAAATGGTTAAGATTACGAACTGTGATCAATCTCACAAATCCTTACAAAATGAATTTTAACACACACAAAATTAAAAAAAAAAATAAAAAATAACAACACGGGTCCCTGGAACAATAAGACAAGATCAGTTTTCTAAGAGGAGTAAGCAACACTCTCTTATCAGGTCACATCTGCCTTGAGCCCTTCCTTTCGACCAATTAACAATACTGTACTTGTACATTAATGAACAAGCTTGAGATAATAAAGAATTACCGATCTAAAAAAAAAAAAAATCTACAAACGATATAAACTTGTAAAAAGGGCATAAAGCACGGACCTTCGAAAATTCCAGAGATGGGATCAGGTGCCTAAAAGAGGAATGAGCATACCCTTCTATAACCGATGAGAACTCTATACTATGAAAGTCAATATAACGACCATAACATTTACGAAGTGTTGACGAGGTTGTTGAAAAACCCGATACATCAACTTATCTGTCAGTTATTACTATAAAGTTTGGTGTTAGTTTGCTAAAGCTATCAGTGTCTCTCTTCAGTAAAATCTAAAAAAAAAAAAATAAAAATAAAAATAAAAACAAAAAGCAGATATGAGTGCGACTGTGTGGACTTTTTTTTATTTTGAATTTACTAGGACATATCAAATCAACGTATGAATGAAATTAAATACTGCATGTGTCAGTATTATGCCTCGGCAAAATAAATGGTCGTGCAAGAGCTTGCTGTTGAGTATTTAAATTTTAACAGAATCACTTGGTAATGAGGGATTGGCCTAATCATGAATTAGCGCTACACACGTCATTGTCGTATTTACTAAACGTTTATTTACCTGATTTCGTGAATAAGCAAGTTGTTGTCTGTGCTAAAACCGCTAAAACGTGAAGACCGTTTTTAAGCTCAAATGCAGTATTTAATTTCATTCATACGTTGATTTGATATGTCCTAGTAAATTCAAAAGAAAAAAAGTCATAGCAGTCGCACTCATGTCTGCTTTTTATTCTTAATTTTTTTTTTTTTTTTTTAGATTTTACCGAAGAAAGACACTGATACATGTAGCTATAACAAACTAACACCAAACTTTATAGTAAACGTGATAACTTAAACTTCTCTACGGTCAACTTTCCTTATTTAAGTAGCCGTACATTATTACCTGCAAATAGGGTTAATGTTTCCCTGTTTATTCGATAGGCGAAAAAGAAGAGACTTACTTCGTACAAAAAAGATGATGTTAAAAGTGCTTGTTTTTTAAATTGTGCGATTAAGTTCTTTTGATTACTTTTTACTCACATTGAGATGCAACCACTTGCTGGTGGAGTGCTGTGACTGTGTTCGGCATTTACGGCTTATGAGCAGTGATTTTTTTTCGTGCTAGCCCCTACTGTGACAATGTTTATTGGGGCTCATCCTATTGACTGGTCTCAATCTCCCGCAGTTGTATTAAAACCTTCGACGGAAGGATCAACGTCTTACTACGCAACCCTAGCGCAAACGCTCTAAACAACTGTATCACCCAGGCTACTGATACAAAGGTGTCTACAATCTCATTTAAAGTGAAAATTTTGCAAATTCTACATTCGATACAATGACCTTGTTTGCAAATACAGTCTGTCTTTAAGGTCGAATATTAACTGTCTTTCATACAAATTGTTATTCTATTTTTTCATACTGAATTGACTACGGATTTCTCAGTTTTTCTTTCAATGAGCATATGGCGCGTGTGACAGGTTGACAGTGAATGCTCACTCCTTCATGGTACCTGATATCTCTTCTCGTGTTTTGGAGCTTTAAAATTTGCTCTACTAACAATCTACATTGTTACCATTTTTAAACATAATTCTGTATTATCTTTACATTTTATGAAAGTAGACTAGCAATTGGTATGGACATATCCTTGTCAAAATAAAATTCTGTTCAAAAAAGGCTGTATTTGCAGACATGATCATGATAGATTTTGCGAAATGATTACTTTGAACGAAATTATTGAAAACCTTGTATCATCAGCTTATTTGTCAACAGCCTGTATCAAATTTATAAACTTGCTCTTGTTCACTGAATCAGTTGAGATTCATACATGAAATGCAGTTGATAATATACATGTATAAAGGGGAAGTTGACAGTAAAAAAAAGTTGGATTCAAACCATTTGTCACATAATTTAGTTATTACTCAGCCATTTACTTTAATACATTGCATTCAGTTAAACATCTAAATATGAAATAGATGTGCCGGAATTTACTTTGTGCTGCTTTCATTTCTAGTTCACTTGCATATATCAATTCAACATATGAATGAAAATGAATACTCTTAATATAAAAGATAGTCGCCATTTATTAAATGTGGAATTTAAGGCCAAAACAAGAGTAATAACTTCTTAAAATAATTTCTGTTTAATAACAATACAAAACAGTTCAGGAAATAAAGGATTATCGTTTATATACAGATGGTTAGAAGACTTGATCTCCTGAATCTATATACATAATAAAAATGAGGAACCCCAACATAATTGCTTAAGGCGAAATATCCCTCTGCTCCAAATTTCACCATTTTTTTTTTTAAATTCCCAACATTGATTTTCATCAGCAACAGTAGCATTAGATTCAAATGGAAAATAGTTTAAAGTATGAAGCGTTGCTTACCTTTTCAGAAATTTTTATATGGTGAATAGAAAGATCAATTATTATTTTTATCTCACCATAAAATTAAAAATATGAATGAAGCGTTTCTTCTTAAATCAGGATATTATATTGTTTTCTGTGCTTTGTAAAATAAAAATGCACCCATCTACAGGAAATTTCGTTCTTCAAAGTATTTTTTAAATAAAAAAAAATTGATTATAAAAATTCTGCATCTGAAATTTCTGAAACAATTAAAAGAAGTTCATGTTAAGAGATAAAACTAGCTCAATTTTAATAGTTTAAAGGAACTGAGTATAAATATTTTAGGTGAACTATTATAAGTAATTAATAGAAATATTGGCAATAGAAAATAGAAATCAATATTTTTAACAAAGTTCAGATTCGAATGAGTTGACTCATTCCCCCATTGTGCCCCCTACCCCCGGGGATCATGATTTGAGTGAAATAAGAAGATAACGAACATTATTCTCGAAAGTCCAGTGAAACGACACAAAATTGGAGCAGAGCAAACACGGACCTCAAACTCAAACCCAAAGGTGGGATCAGGTGCTATGGAGGAGTGAGCATCCCCTACCGACCAGTCACACTTGCCTGTGCTCCTTGTCATGATCGGAAAAAAACTCGGAAAAATCCGTAGACAGTTCAGTGTTTAAATAAAAGCCTAACAATTAGTATGAAAAACGTCAGTCAGCATTTTACTCAATGATAGGTTGTGTGTGCTAACAAGGTCACTGTATCGACCGTAAAATTTGTGAAATGATGACTTCAAACGAGACTTTTCAACAACTTGTTTCATCAACTTGTTTGTCAATAGCTTGCTTCGGTTTAGAAATTGTTCGTACGTAGAGCATGCTCTTGCGTATCGAATCAACTGAGAGACATAAACTCAATTATTTACACACTGAATTGTCGACGTATTTCTCCGTTATTTCCCGATCATGACAAGGAGCACACGGCGGGTGTGACCGGTCGGCAGGGGATGTTCACTCCTCCATGGCACCTGATCCCACCCAATTTACATTACCAGTAATGACGTGTCCAGCAGGACTTTAGTTGTAGGGTAAAGAAGAACATGATCACGAAGGAGGATTATGTATCAGATGTTCGATATCTAGGCATTGCAGAGTTTTTTTTTTGTAATTAAAAAGTTTGGAGCAATAGTTGATGCATATTGGAGGTTTAGTTCATACCAGTTAATATGTTTGTTGGGTTGTGAAAATAGGGTTTGATAGAATATTTAAGTTGGAAGTTCATTTTCGTGGTTATTTGTTACCGGGTTAACAAAAATAATTTTGAAATGTTTTGTTTTGAATAAAAATTAACTCGTAATTCTGATAGAATGAATGAAAACGATCAAATGGATGTTAAATTCTTGCATTGAGGGGTAATAAGAAAACAATCTATCCCAATGTGTTCAATTATTTACCAAAGAGAAAAAAATAAATCGATTGCACGATCGGCATGTACTGGTCCCAGATGATAATGCAGGTAACGCTGTCTTTATTTGTAATGTAGTCCGTAAAAGCTTTTCAGGGCTAATGTTTTTTTAATAATCGAAACTCGACTTTAAATAAATATTATCTTATACCTTAAGTTGAACACATACTGCAACATAGTTTGACATTTTCATTTTACTAGGCCTCTGTCTGTCACACATTATATATTAAGGAATTAAGAGATGGGCATTTGATATATTGGTCATGTATTGCTTGATGCAAATGAACGGACTTTTTAATCTTTGATCTTAAACTTAATATTGAAAACAGTTTATTTAGCTCCCAGATAATCTATTGATACATATTCTTTGCAAGTTTACACTTATTTTTTTGGTCGGTGCACAGTTTGTCAAGAGGAAGAGCTTTGATATCTAGCATACATATTATATGTTTATGATCTCATTACACTGTACTTTCAAACTACATAACGTACAGCTACAACAGAAACTGAAATGTAAGTAATGTATATTCGCTCAGTTGCATGAAAATAAATCTGGATCGGTATACCGAAATTGTACATTCTTGAAAGCATTTTAAATAATCAATTAAATTATTCATTTTAGC